CCCATTCAGATTGAGTAACATGTTTGCTCATGAGGGCACAGCTTATGCGAAACTAAAGAGAACATTCAGCCTTCTACTGGCTATACCTGGGACGCACAGTTGAGGTCAGGCTTCGTCCAGTACGTGAACCTGTCTGAGCTCTGGTTGGCCAGAGCTGTTGCTGGGCTGATTCCTTTTTAAGCAAAATTAGAAAGTCAGTGTGAACTGGTTTTACTAGATTGCCTTCTAAAAAAAAAGATTCTCCTGATTCATCTTCATTTTGCTGTTTCAAAACTACATAGTTGTGGTCTGAACATGCAACTTTGTGTTCAGTTTAACAAAAAGGCTATATAACAGTGTTGATTTATAGGTGGTTCTCAGATATTGTCTTAGAATAAAGGAGAAGCTGTGTACCTCAAAGGAGAATGGCACGATGATGAAATAGTTTTTTGCGAGTTGTTTCTCTGCAAATTGATGATCTCGGCCTTTGTGTAATTTTTCAAATCTTTGTAGGATTTTAATTAAGTGATATTTGGTAGAGCTTGATTGGGCTGTGGAACAATAAACAACCTCACGGTAACACCGATCAGGGGCCGGGTACTGCACAGAGTACAGACCACCCATGGGGAGCTAAGGGGTCCTCTTGCTCAGCCTCCTCGTTCAGGATTCCCGATGAGTCCAGACAGGCACTGGCAGGGGGGTCAGGAAACACCACCTCTGCCAGCTGCCTGTGAGCCTGCTCCCCTTCTGGCCTATTCCATTCTCTCTCGAGATTCATGGAGAACATATTTGAGAAGGGTTGGGGGGAGAAAAAGAAGACGATGCTTTAGACAACCCTGAGAAAGGGGACAGAAGCAGCAAGCGTAGCAGTTGCTGGAAGTTTGGTGGTGCACACAATGCAATCTGCCAGCCCATTTGTTGATTCTGCATGCCATCCTTCAGTTGGCACCACTGCTGCCAGGAACCACCCCCTCCTTTTTCCATCTGAAGGCAGGGAGAGAGGCACTGCGGCAGCATTAACTCTTCCTGCGCTGTAACTCTGCCTGCGCTAAAGCCGAGAGTTTCTTATCTCCATGTCAGGCTTGATAACCTGTGTCATTTTAGGACCCACAGAGATATTTGAATCAAAGAATTTTAAAAGTTGCAGGAGCCTGAGGGAGGTTTTCAAGTAGGAAAAGCAGAACCCAGTCTTCCCAGGTGGGACCAAATGTGATGGTGGGTAGAGGTCATTTGAATTTTGAAGAATGAGGACCTAGAGGGAAACCTGCTTTTACCTGCAGCCAGAGATCTGGTCAGCACATCAGCAGTGACAGTTGGAGGTGGTACAAGGCCAGAGAAGTCTTCTGAGCTAGACCAACCAGAAAAACAAACATTGGAGGTAGAGGTGAAGTGGCAGAGCTAGCAAGAGAGGGAGAGGTCTAGCATCCTTCAGAAGACAAATCTTAGGAGGTAAATTAATTAATTCTCTTGATGATTTAGCCAACAGAATGCAACTATTTATTGTGTGCTTTAAGAAGTCATTTAAAAACACTGATCATGTCTTTCCTGTCTTGCTTAATGTGCTTTTGTGGAAATAAGAGCAAGTCCAGGGAACACCGGGAAGTCTAGAAATGTTGGCCATAACTACTGCCTAAGGCATGAGGGAGGTGGCTATCTGGATTGTGGAGACTGGGAACATTTTGTTCAAATTAAGGAACTGCAAATTGTCGCTTCAGAGAATGAGTTAATTTGTGTACCTTGGTGCTTGGAACAGTGATTGGTGCATCATTAACACAGACTATTAGTTGCTGCTACTACTATTAGTAATAACAGTAATTATTACAATTTTCAGAGGTAGGGCTAGTGCAGAGTGCCTTTAATCAGAAATTGTGTATCAGAGTTTATGGGAAAAACTCATGCTTCTCAGTTTAGAGAACACAGTGGAATTTTCCTTCAAGGAGCCTAGTTCTCAGAAACAGCCTCTGTCTTGGTTGGAAAATGGTCTGCTTTGCTGTTGGGTGTGACCAGGGAGGGGGAGTACTCTCTTTCCAGAGCCCAGGGAGAGGCCTGCCCCACGGGGAATGACATGAAGTAACCACTGGTTTCATGTGAAGGGAAACTGGAGTTTTATAGCACAACTTTGTGAGCTCGGTTTAGATTTAAGACCTACCTGCTTCAGCTTCTTTAGGGAGCTGTCTGGTGATCAGAGATAAACAAGGTGACCCCAGACCCAGAAAGGGACCGCCCCAGGTATTCTTTCTCAAGACATTTTCCTTCTGCCAGTGTCGGCTCACCTATCCTCCACACCACATATCTGCTTTTCTTCCTTTATCAAGGTTGAACTCAACATCATGGTCATTAACTTTGCTAACCTCTCCCGCTGCCACCCCCTGTTCGCTGAGCCTCCTCTTACCTAGATTCGTGTAAGACCACTGGTCTTTCCCACGTAGGTTAACGCTACGAATATTTTACTGATAGTAAAGGATTCAGAACAGTGCCTGAATCATCACTCAACTGCAGTCTGTGCTTTACCTGTTTTGTCTCATTTAATTTTGCATCACAGTGTTTTCCCCATTTTACAGACGAGTTAATCGAGACACAGAAAGGCCAAGTGAAGTGTGACCCAGGCTGCCTGGCTCTCTAGCTGGGAACCATAATCCCCTTGGGTGTCTAGTTTCTTCCTTAGCCCTTTCAGTCTTTGCAGTTTCTCCACTCATTATTGGCCTTGTCTTCTCAAATAGATGGCAAACTCTTCAGAGCCCCTTGCCTCATCTTTGTTTGTGTATGTGTGTATTCCCCCAGACCCCATCATGGTGGGGGCCGGAGTGAGTCGCCTGCCTGGACCACCTGCGTGATGGGTTGCACACTGTCCAGCTGAGGTTTTTCTGGGTGTGAACGCTCTCCCTGGCCAGTGCCCATCGTGTTAGACTCTGTCCTTTCTTAATGTTGGCAAACGGTTCACAGCTGCACAGGCAGCTGCCTGGCTGCTTCTCCACCAGGGCAAGGGAAAACATTTTCAAGAACAAGCAGAAACAAGTTGGTATTGGCAGAGCAGACCCAGGCAAGCCCCAGCATCTTGCCCTTTGTCCTGGATCCTCCACTCTTTAGGCCACACGCAGTGCTGGGGCTGCTCCCATCCCCCAGGTCCCACCTGGAGAAAAACCAGCCCAGCCCTTTGCCCTCTGTCCCAATTCCTTAAGGCTGCTGCTAACTACAGAGCTGATAAGGTAGGGTTTATGGAATTCCTCCTTATATTTGCATTTGAAAGGAAAGAATTCCTTTACTGCTCAGAAAGCAGGCAAGGCAGAGGAGGAGGTAAATAACAGCCACTTGGGAGGCACTAGTGTACCAGACTCCAGGTCTGGGTAATCCGGGGTTCAAATTCTAACTCCACCCCTCACTGGCTGTGACAAGGGCAGCTTCTCCAAGCCCGTGTCTTGTCTGTAAACAGCACCTGCATGATGAGTATCAGCGCCCTGGCTCGTGGTAGCGCCTCAGCAAGTGTTCCTTTAACAACAGAACTGGTCTGTCTGCCCACTGTTGTCAAATTAAGAGCACAGTTGCTTCTGTTTCTTGTTCGGTCATAAACTGTTCTCAGCTGAGATTTTAAAGAAACGTTTATTTGTTATTAAATATAGCTTATATACCGGAGAGGGAAATGACAGCCCACTCCAGTCTTCTTGCCTGTGAAATCCCGTGGACAGAGGAGCCTTGCACGGTTCATTGGCTCGCAAAGAGTCCTATGCAACTTAGCGACTAAACAACAACAATGGCTTATATACAGAAAAGTGCACAAAACATACATGTACGATTTAGCAAGCAGTTATAAAAGCATCAGCCATGTAACTGTTACGGGAAGCACACTGATTGAAACCGCCCACCCTGGCCAGGCACCATAGTAACTATTTGCATGAGTTGTTTTACAACAGGAGGTCCTGGTAAGGAACAGGGAACTAATAAGCCTCCACCAACCAGAAGAGTTTGGGAAAGGTCAAAAGGAGACACACCTGTCCAACCACCTCCCAGAATCCTTCTCTCTGGCATCCATCTTGGCTGAACAAGGCATGCACCACCAGGAAGGACTCTGAGTCAGAACGATTGGCTAAGGACAACCCGGAAACTAATCCCATCACCATAAAACCCGAGACTGCAAGCCGTTTGACAGAGCAGTTCTCCTGGGTTCCCTTACTTTCCTGCTCTCCGCCTGGGTGCCCTTTTCCAATAAAACCTCTTGCTTTGTCAGCACGTGTGTCCCCTCAGACAATTCATTCCCGAGTGTTAGGTAAGAGCCCAGTTTCGGGCCCTGGAAGGGGTCCCCCTTCCTGCAATGTAACCACTACCCTGCTTAAGAAAAACAAATGCTGCTGTAAAGTGGCGTATACCCTGTAATGGTGGTTTTCACCGCGGGCAATTTTGCCCCCACGGGACATTGAAACATTTTTGGTTGTGGTATGTGAGGAAGTGCTTCTGGTATCTAGTAGGAGAGGTTAGGGGTGCCACTAAACATAAACAGCCCCCCATAACAAAGAATTATCCAACCCCCAAAGTTAGCAGTGCCCTGGCTGAGAAAGTCTGATGTAACACAAACTGACTGCCCCTATGGGGCAGACACCCCATTTTTAGAAACACAGGACTTGAGCAGGAGGTGAACTTTTAGGAAAAGATTTGGGTGCTCAAGAAACCTGTTTGTGTCAAGACTTAGATTTATATAACACATTGTTAGTAATGTCATCTCACTCAACTAATTGTTTTCTGAAGAAAAAAAAAAAAGCCAGCCTGAATTTCAGATGAAAGATCTGAAGTTAATAGACCTTGCTAACAGCATCAATCAGTTTGTATTCTTTCATTGCTGCCAAATGCTTTTAATCTCCTCTGTCACTTTGCACCAATCCTGGGAATCAAATACTGTACAAGTCAGCAGAAACCAGACGTGTTCCATCTTACTATTAATTAAATCATGAATTAATTAAATACTGTCCTCTTCCCAACAACTTGTCCCAGCCCCTTTGCTCTCATAACTCTTTGTCTTTAATTTATTGCAGGATTTAGTTGTTCGCATTGTTTTTATTCTTGGCAACCTGACAGCGAAAAATAACCAGGCTCGTGAGCAGTTTTCCAAGGAGAAAGGGAGCATCCCAACTCTGCTGTCTTTATTCCACACGTTCTACAAACTGGATCTGCATTCTGGGAAGTGCTGGGGGGAAGGAGATGAGCGTCCCAAGGCACCGAGGCCGGCCCAGGCAGAGGACGTGCTCATCAAACTGACCCGTGTGCTCGCCAACCTGGCCATCCACCCTGGCGTGGGCCCGGTCATCGCCGCCCACTCACACATCGTCGGTCTTCTCCTCGCCACACTGGGTAAGAAATACGGCCTTAGATGGGGTTCTGTGAGGGTTTTAGCAGTACAACCTGCTCGCTTTAATGAACCTTCTCAGTTGTGACAGGAGATTCATTTGTCTTCTGTTCAGAACTGCCTCAAAAGTAATCTAGCTTTTTAAAGAAAGGAAAAAAAAAATAGTAATACATCCTCCTGAAATCATAAGTCATGTCCAACTCTTGTGTCCACATGGACTATAGCCAGTTAGGCTCCTCTGTACATGGGTTTTCCCAGTTAAGAATACTGGGGTGGGTTGCCATTTCCTTCTCCAGGGGATCTTCCCTACCCAAGGATCGAACCCAGGCCTCCTGCATTGCAGACAGATTCTTTACCATCTGAGCTACCAGAATTATTACTAAAACCCACTGAACTGTGCAATCTAAAAGAGTGAATTTTATGGTATGTCAATTATATCACAACTTCTATTTAAAAAAAGCTTGCCAGTCAAATTATCAAAATTGGCCAACTTAACACAGAGTTTAAAATTCCAGGTTTTTCCTGGATTAGTCCACATAATTGAAGTTTATTTGCCTTTTTATTTTTTTCAGCTTTTTACATTAGCCACAGTTACAGTCTCCAGGTCCCATCTTTCCCCCTGTATTAGACAGTGGGAGCTGCCATAACAAAACACTGTAGGCTGGGTGGCTTAAACAACACAAGCATATTTCTCACAGCTCTGGAAGCCAGGATTCTACGATCAGAGTGCCAGCTGACTCTGTCCTGGTGAGAGCCCTCTTCTTGACTGGCAGCTGGCTTCATTCTCCTGTGGCTTTTTCTCAGTGTGTGTGGGTACACATGAGAAAATGACCTTTCTCTTCTCGTAAGACCATCAGTCCTATCCGATACAGACTCCACCCTTATGATCTCATTTAACTTGACCTCCTAAAAGTCCTGTCTCCAGAAACGATCACATTAGGGTTTAAGGCTTCAACATATAAATCTGGGGGGAGGGGACACCAATGCAGTTGATAATATCCTACCTCTGATCCCCCCTGCCCCAGATTCCTGATTTTCCCATGTGCAGAACGCTTTCATTCCATCTCAACAGCCCCAAAAGTTGTTAATTAATTTCAGCATTGACTCTGAAGTCTAAAGTCCCAGATCTCATTGAAATATCATCTACATCAGCTATCATGAGTTGTGAGATATGAGACATCCTTAGGAACAATTCCTCTCCTGCTTGAACCTGAGAAACCAGGCAAGTTATATGCAAAACAGGATGGCAGGACCAGCACAGGATAGATGGTCCTATTCCAAAAGAGAGAAATAGGAAAAAAGGGAAGTGTGATGTGTCCCCACCAAGTCCCAAGCCTACTGCTGCTATTGCTGCTAAGTCATTTCAGTCATGTCCGACTCTCTGCGACCTCATCCCTGGGATTCTCCAGGCAAGAACACTGGAGTGCGTTGCCATTTCCTTCTCCAATGCATAAAAGTGAAAGTGAAGTCGCTCAGTCATGTCTGACTCTTCTCGACCCCATGGACTGCAGCCTACCAGGCTCCTCCGTCCATGGGGTTTTTCAGGCAAGAGTACTGGCGTGGGTTACCATTGCCTTCTCCAAGTCCCAAGCCTAGTGAGGTGAATTCCATAAAATCTTAAGGCTTGAGAATAATCCTCTTTGGTTACATGCTATTCCCTCCAGACCCACAGGGGCAGTGGCCCTGCCTCCAACAACTCTGTCAGTTAGGCCACCAGGGCTCTGCAGGGCAGTCTTGCCCTTAAGGCTTTGGGATGAAGACCAGTGTGACCTGCTGAAATGGAGGCAGTGGCCCCAGTGATCTCTGAATCACTGCTGGGGACATTCTCTCCTCTACTTGCAGAATAGTGCATATTCCCAACTAAGTAGCTCCACAGTCTGTCCTGTCAAGTCCAAGGAGTCTGACAGCTTCCTTCACTCGGTCCTGCCTCTGCCCCCTTCAGTTCAGACTGGCAGTGCTTCTGCTCACATGATCTCTCAAACTCTGTACTGAGTGATAATAAGACAACCACACATGTGGTGTTCCCTCTTGTACACGCTTTCTTATTTCTTGCAGTATGTACAGGCTGAGAAGTTTCCAAGTCTGCAAGTTCTAGCTCCTGTTGCTTGAAGGTTCCTTCTTCAATTCATCCCTCTCTGAAGTGAAAGTGAAAATTTAAGTCGCTCAGTTGTGTCTGAGTCTGCAACCCCATGGGCTGTACAGTCCATGGAATTCTCCAGGCCAGAATACTAGAGTGGGTAGCCTTTCCCTTCTCCAGGGGATCTTCCCAACCCAGGGACTGAACTCAGGTCTCTGCATTGCAGGCAGATTCTTTACCAACTGAGTCACAAGGGAAACCCAAGAATACTGGAGTGGATAGCCTATCCCTTCTCCAGGGGATCTTCCCAATCCAGGGATCAAATCAGGTATCCTGCATTGCAGGTAGATTCTTTACCAACTGAGCTATCAGGGAAGCCCATCACTCACTTCTTACATGCTAATATAAGCAGTCAGGAAGTGCCAAGCCTCTCCTTAAACACTCTGCTTGGAAATCTTAGCTAAACATCCAGTATCATTGCTTGCAAGTTAGACTTTCTGCAAAACACTAGAACACAATTCAGCCAAGTTCTTTGCCACTTATAACAAGGATCTCCTTTCCTGCAGTTCCAATGATATGTTCTTCCTTTCCATCTGAGACTTTCCCGGAGTAGCCTTTATGTCCATTTCTCTAAGAGCATTGTACTCATGACTATTTCTGTGTTCTCTAAGAAGATGGGAGCTTTCTCTTGTCTTTCACCCTTTGCCAGAATCACCTTGTCAATGAAAAATTGATCAGTGAATCTAAGAAAGAATTGGGAAATTTTATTCAAGCCAAATTTGAGGATTGTAACCCAGGAAGAACATCTCAGAAAGCTCTTGAGAACTTTTCCACTGGTTAGAAATCAAGGCACAGTTGTATAAGATTTTTTGAGACAGAGGGCTCTACACCAAATGATATGTTATTGACAGTTTCCATCTTCCAGATCTAAGCATCATCCTGGTATGTCATGTGACACCTTACAAGGTCAAGAAGGACTGTTGTCTTTTAAGGAGGGACTTGTCATGATGCTAGGAGAATGTTGCTCTTTATGGTTGACCAGATATTCCTACTGAGGGAGAGGTTTGGCAGATACCCAAACCGCAGTGTGGAGAGAGAAAGAAGAGTTGTTATGTTTAAATTTTTCCTATCTTGCCATAAAATATAAATTTTATTTCACAACCTTTAACATCCATATTTCTAGCATGCCCCTCAGAACTCCTCCAGCCTCCACCCATTACTCAATTCCAAAGCTGCCTCCATATTTTTAGGTAATTGTTACAGCAGCACCCTACTGCTAAGCACCCAAACCTGCCTTAATCTGCTCAGGATGCCATAACAAAATAACACAGACTGTGACTCAAACAACAGAAACTTATCTTCTTACTTCAGGGGACTGGAAGTCTGAGATCAGGGTGCTGGCGTGGTTCCCGTGAGGCCTCTCTTCCTGGCTCATCGATGGCTGCATTTTTCCTTTCTCTTCCTCTTCTAAAGCCACCAATTCTATCAGAAAAGGACTCCACCCTTACGATCTCATCTAACCCTAATTATCTCCTAAAAGCTGCATTAGAGGTGGGGATTCAACATAGGAATTTGGGAGGGACACAGTTCAGTTCGTAACACCCCTGCTTTCCACTTTTTAGGCCTTGTCATTTCCCATGGGCACCTTTGCCTGCCAGTGGGCAAGGAAATTAACTGCCATCCAGAGATATCTACTTTGCCACTACTTACCAGACTCTGAAAGATTTTGTTGTTGTCAAAGAAGCTTTAATGTCTGATGAAAATAATGTTTGGGGGTAACCTTTGAACTTTAGCCCTTTGTATAACCTCATTAGATAGTCAGTGCTGTGCTCATATAAAGAGAGGTTTCTTCGTCTGCTCAGACTGCCGTAACAAAACACCACAGATTGGGTAGCTTAAACAATAGAAATCTATTTCTCACAGCCCATAGGCTGGACGTCCCAGTCAAGGTGCCAGAAGGGTTGATACCTGGTGAGACCTGTTTCTGGCTTGTAGATGGCCCCCTTCTCACGTGTCCTCACACTATGGGGAGAGAGCTCTGGTGTCCCTCCTCGTCTTGTCAGAGCACCAGTCGTATCGGATGAGGGCCCCACCCTCACCGCCTCATTTAACTTTTATACCTCACCAGCCCTATCACCAAATACAGCCACTTTGGGGGTTAGAGCTTCAACATATGAATTTGAAGGGGACACACACACACTCCATCCATCACGAGGTTTAGGAAAGTGTAGGTTGGTATCTGCTTTCAAGGAAGAGAGTACATCGTGGAGGAATATCAGGCGTATACACAAAAGCTCATGAGAAGTGCCCATAACAAAATACAGAGCATGAAGGCTGAGGGGACTGAGCCCCATAGCATAGCTTTAGGTGTGTGGGGTTGTAACTGACTTTGCCTTCCCTTGTTACGGAGCTGCGTAGTTTTTTTTTTTTTTCTATTTTTTTTTTTTTTGAAATATAATTGAACTAGAACACTATGTAAGTTCCAGATTACAACATAGTGCTTCTATATTTCTATGCATTACAAAATGACCACCATTGGAGCTGCCCAGTTTAAGAAGCATGTTCACATCTGTTCCTTCACGTGAGCAGCCACATGAGAGTGGGTTGTTATTTTAGGCCTTTCACAGAGGAGGAAACAGGCTCAGTGAGATGAAATGACGTTTAAAAGTCACAAAGTTAGTAAGTGGCAGGGTTACTCACATGTTGCTGATCTTAAGGATTCTTAAATTCTTATATTTTTAAATATTTATTGGACTGTGCTGGGTCTTAGTTGCGGCACATGGAATCTTCATGCACCGTGTGGGATCTTTCGTTGCAGCGTGTGGACTCTAGTTGTGGTACGTGGGCTCAATAGTTGGGGCACATGGGCTTAGCTGCTCTGCAGCATATGGGCTTTTGGATTCCCTGACCAAGGATCAAACCCATTCC